GATATTGCAATCCAATGTAGTATGATTTGAATGAGGTCATAATGGTTTTTTTTTCTATAGACGCGTTACACAATCATCCTCCTCTTCATAGCCTTCAATTTCAACATGTACGAACAGAGTTGAATCAGTTAGACCATTGTCCTTCGATCGCAATCGCATATGACGAAAACCTAAAGTAAAAAATTCAACAATTTTAATTGATTTCGTTCAGTAAATCTTTTTCTTTGAAATACCTGTCTGCATCGTTTTCATTGGCAAACAAAAATATGCTAATCGATCATTTTTACTCAGAACATCATGATCATAAACAGTAAATAAAACAAGACAGATTTGTGGAAAATCTATGTGAAATCGAAATGTTTCTTTCCAAATCGGATTGAGTCCATTATTATGCACAACACATGTTCGTTGAGCTTGTTGATCACATGGGATCCCATGTGTTGATACTTCAACATATGGATCGGGTACATCATTAGCTTTTGAACTCGATCGTGGCAAAAACTGAGCACTCATAATAGTAATAATTAATGTTTGTGGTTGTTCAAAAACATTTTCTGAAAAATCTGATGGCTTTGTTTGATGGTCAAATGGATTGAATTTAGCTCGACTTGCATCAATCAAATAATTCGGTTTGAGTACATAACCACAACCACCATTGTCGGAAAATTTCCCGTGGCAGAGTGCCATTATTTTATCATATTTTTGAAAATTTAATGCAACCATTTGTACACCAAAGTTCCACGGAAGTATAGGATCAGGATTGCTTGAATCCTGTCGAATTCCACTAGGATACAATCGACATAATGTCTTAGCTGTTTGTTGTACTACACAAGCAGGTTCATCTCGTACTGCTCGTCCAAAATGGTTTTCGGCGACATTTGGCGAGTGATAACAGACGTCTATTGATGATAAGCAAACAAAACATTTTTACAAAAGTTAAAATCAATACTTCACTTACAATTGGCTTTGGCATATTCATATTCACGAAAGGGAACATTTTGAAGGTAGACGAAGAGATCGCCTAGACGCTTTTGAACTATCTGAAAAAAGAAACGTTTGAGAAAATGACATAATAATAGAAGAGAAAGTAAAAACTTAACTGGCTCAGTGAATCAACAAGAGATTTATCATCGTCTTTTTCATCTCTCCATAATTTGGCTATTGTTGTTGGTGTAGGCCGTTTGATACCCTATGAAGGACAACAGCAGTAGATTTATTTTGCATATATATATATATATCAATGAGTTTTACTTATGAAAAACTAGAGTTACTTACTTGAACAAGCACTTTGTACTTGAGTTCTTCTGGTGATGGTAAAACTAATGGATCTTCTTCGGATAATGGTTTGTTGATCAGATGATCTTTATAAAATAAAATGAAATGTCGCGAGCATATCGTCTCAATTCATTCTCACCACCAAGAATTTCTTCTAAGATGCGAGCCATTTCTTGTTGTTGCTCCAATGAACAGTGATTTTCAAGATCAAGAACCACTGGATATCTATGAGAAGAGAACATCACTATTGAAAAGATATCAGAATAGATTATTTATCATTAGTCAAATCTTGATATGAATTCTTAAATAAATAAATAAAAATATATATGTAATTGACACTACGTACGGTGATTTGCTGAAAAGATTCGGCTTTATCGAACGAATGATTGATTCGAAAAGACATGATTTGACCAGTGTATAAGCATGTTTCACTATAGGTTGTCCATTTTCACCATCATAACAATCAAGTTCGACAGCACGACAACCAGCACGTAATACTCGATTGTAAGCTTCCCGATTACTATCACCCATTACTTGAGAATTAAATAAATACCTAGAACACCAAATCAATTTAATCTGATATGTAAAAGAATTGCATATATATATAGTAATTATACGTATTATGTGAAGTACTGATGAAGTAGTTGGTTAATGGTCTAAAAATATAAGAATGAATATTATGAATTGATAGAGGATTCTTTTTTACTGACATACCTAGTCATATCTTGATAAGGTTGAAGAGCACACCATGGTTTCATTAGTTCGAAATCTTGAGACAACATCATGTTGCGAAAACCTAAGAAGGAGTCAACAATTCACATTCCTTAAAAAGCATTTTAAAGATATAGTTAATCAAGAGTTTTTGATACTCGAAACCTTTTCTATGAGAGAATATTTTATGATTGAAAATATCAAAACAGTCATTCACAAGAATACTTACCATTAAAACTTAGAAGCCCATTTTCTCGAAGTTCACTCTCGATTTCAAATTCGTCAACTATCTGTTGTGCTTGTTCACGTGTCTCGATACGTCCATAGGAAAGTTTACCATTTAAACTTTTAAACTCTGGCAACCGAATCGTTTGCTAGATATATATTGATTGATAGTTAACAGCAATTTTAATAAATTATCACAAGTTTACTTACATTTTGACTACTTTGAAGGAAAAACAAAAGCTCGCCAACATTCATTTGAATTGTTTCAATTGATGTTTCGTACCCATTTTCAACATATCTATTTTAAAAAATTTCAGCTTTCTCAAAACGAAAATGATTAATTTTACCCACTTTTGCATAACTTCATAAAGGTCTTCACGACGAGTAAGTAGATGAAAAATAGTTATGAATTCATCTGAACTTAACAGACCTTCACCACTCTTATCTGCTTGCTAAATAGAAGTTAAAGAAATATGATGATGTCAGTACGAATGATGTGAGTTGGTACTTTGAAAAATTTTTCGAATACTGATTTGGGTACATTGGCATTGAGTGACTCAAAAAGTCAGCGACATTCTTTTTTCGTCAATGAACCAGATTGATCTTTGTCTGCAGCACGAAAATGACTCAAAATCCACCTAGTCAATGGAATGATTAGCAATGATAATCACATTTATTATGTTTCTCACTTTTTTTCTCTCTTCAGA